CATATCATTTCCTCATCTGATTCCATCATGAACATCCATGGAATAAACACATGATCGAACGGCTCTTCATCATCATCCCCAAGTGTTCAAGCCTGAGAACCGATCACACTAAAACCTTAAAGATCTTCGTCTAGACTCAACTAAATCTCATGGGGTTTATTTCTAAACCTCCATCTACTCAAGACATGTCTATCCATACAGTTAATAAAGCATGAAATCAAGCTATTACTCATAAAGAATCAAAATAAGCTCGGGTTAGGGCTGAGGCTCAATACCTTTATCTGAGAGGGGAGGCCTCAATCAAATGGTTGTGGCAGCTTTGATTGAGTCCAACGAACCTCCAGATGAAGTCCTAGGCCCTGGTGAATTGTCTAGCTGTGATTTCGATCAAGCTCGATTTTAGGTGTTGATCAAAGTCTATGTTAGGGGCTCTCTGTGACGAGGCTTTTGTGGAGAATTAACTCCGTGGGCATAGTTAATTGAACTTTTGAGGACTATGGAGGTGTTAGAAAATTTTTCCTGGTTTTGGGGCAAATTCCAATGAAAAAATTGGCTCTGTGGGGTGGTTGTAAGTGGTTGAGAGCAAGGGTATTGAACTTAAGAAGGTTTGGAGAGGCTCTGGTGAGATTTTGGCAGAGTTTCCCCAAAGGTTTCAAGCACTCTCTTCTTTGGCCGTGGAGAGGTCAATTTAAAGCCATGACTGTTTGGTAATCTCAGGGGGGTTTGATGGGTGCTAAAGCTTGCTGAGGTGGAGAGAAGAAAGGCACAAGCATCCAATTGGAGTGAGCCAAGTCAGGGAGTTCAGATTTTGGGTTTTGGCCATTGGGGACTCCTTTGGGGTGACTATTTCCGGTGGAGTGGCTGAGGTGGTGGTTGGCCAAGGTTCAGTCATTTATTAGCTCTACGAGGTCAAGGGGTGTCTAATTATGATTAACTCCCAAGAGTAAGCAATGATGGCAAAGATATTTCAAGTTTAGGCCAAATATAGGTGAAATCCCTTAAATTAGGGGACCATTGGTCCATAGCTCCTCTAACATGGGCTAGATGAGTCTAGCCTAGTCACTAGGGTCTAGAAGTTGGCTATAGAAGCTTTGGCTTGATCAATTTGACATGGCTTGGTCAATTTTGGTGTATAGGTTCAATTTGGGTCAAATTGTCTTGAAGTTTGGTTTGGGTTAGGCTAGCCATGAAATTGGACTCAACTGATTAAGAAACATGGTGCAGATGATTGTCATAAAGAGTTTAGAAAAGATTTGGAGTAATTTTGAATTTATTTGATGAGTCAATTTGAAGGATAGTGAGCATTTGATCAATTTGAGGATGTTGGGTTGGACTTGGGTTTAGGTTAGGCTAGTGGTTGGCCAAGTCAAAATTGAGAGTTCACAATGGTCTAGAGGGATGTTTTGAAGAGTTCTCAACATTAATTGAGTGTCAAATTTAGGGTTTGGGTATTTAATTTGGTCCAAGTTATTTTTGAGCAAAGTTAGGGCTTTTCCAAGTCAAATTGAAGGTTCAATTTGGTATGTGGAAGTATTTTGAAGAGTTTATGATGCAAAATGGAGACAATTGAATAGATTTGGGGTTCAATTGGGTGAGATTTTGATTTTGGGTGAAATTGGGCTTTTTGACTCGGGCTAAAATTGGGTTCCAATGATCAATTGGGCTTAGATTTGATTTTGATCAATTGGGCTTGGATTTGATTTGAATTGGGTTTGTTAATGATGAATTTAAGTATATAATTGAAATTGGAGAAAATTGGGATCAAATTGGAGGACATTTGGGGTGAATTGGGGTAATTGGGTCTTTAAAGGTAATTTGAGGTTTTTTTTGTCAAAATGGGTCAAACTGGTAAAATTGAGTTCAATTGAAGGGTCCAAATTGGTTTTGGGGACATTTGGAATGATTTTGAAGGTTTTGGAAAAGTTTGGGCCACCAAGGGTATTTTGGCAATTTGAGGGGTATTTTGGTAATTTTGGTAATTTTGGGAGGTTTTGGGCAATTTGGGTCGTTTCAAATTGTTTGAGATGATTTTTGAAATTTAGGTATTTTGAGTGAAATTAGGAATTTTGGATTTTCATGGGCAATTTGGTAAATTGGGTAGATTTGGGGGCAAAAGGCTAAGTTTGGTATTTTGATGAAAGTGAGATTCCAACCACCCTATTTGAGCTATGGGCCAATGGAATTCTCTACTTTAGGTCCTCCATGTACTGGTCTTAGTTAGACCCTAGCCTAGGGCTGGTCGGTCTAGGGGACCATCAACATGAGTCTCCGAAAGAGTTAAGAGGTCAAAGTTAGTTAGGCCTAGGCTTAAGGTAGTGAGTGGAAGTGTAATGTACACGTGTGTGAGTGAGAGCAACCAACACCACAGCACCAGAGGGTTAACTTTAAGACCAAGAAATCCTATGGGAACTTTCCTTCAGCTCCCCTATACTGACCCCACCTACTAGTGCTAGAGGTTATGACCAATATGTGGGACTTCAAGTTGAGCAGAGAAGAGTTTAGAATTTCTAATAGTGAGGGTTCATTCCTAGTCCTCTTGGAATAGTCAACAGGAAAGTTCAATGGCTACAACCTAAGCTACTAAAGAGAAAAAACTAGACCTCAACCAAAAGTGATGTCAACAAACTTAGATCTTCGTGACCATCTAAAAAAGTTTTTAAGTTGATTGTTCATGAATAGGTATAGAGGCAAGAAAACACACAAGAAGGGCACATGTCCACCCTGCTGTCCATCTCATGGTGGAGCACATTGAGTCACACGGGTGTGTCGCATCCTTTGAATCCTTTACCTATGTTTTAATCGACCGCCACCTTTATCTATTTGGCTTCTTTGCCACTTTGTTCTTTCATTTTTTCCACATGCCCACTACCATTGGGTTTCCTTTTCTCCTTTACATCCTTAGAAGGGAGAAATTTTCTAGTTAAAATTTGATAGGACTTCCTCATAGCCACTTCATTCATCACCTCAACAAAAAGCCTTCTTGCACTCGTCATAAATATCTTTCTTAATTGACTGAAAGACAGAAAGTTGAGAAAAGTGATGTAAGAAACTAATAAAACTAATTACATGTTATTTAGGAGGAATGCGGGCACTGAAAAATTGGCAGTTCAATTATTAAAAATACTTATTACACTACAAATAAGTTAACTTTTTAGCATTTAATTTTCTTATTCTTATCGCAACAATCACTTTCCATGAGTAACAAAATCGAAAAACTAAATATATACATAAGAAATATGCATGCACAAATCTTAAGGAAATCCAACGGGTCTCGCTTACAAACATTAAATGATAGTGTATTGATATAATCAAAAGCTGAAAACATCAAGTGTGTTTCTTTAATAGAAACTTTAAGTAAACAGAAAAGAAGCACAATCGAATGAAGAAAAAGAAAGAGCCCAATCCAAGGGACAGTTGTCCATGATTAGATTCCTTAGTTAATCCTGTAACTCCTCATAAATTTGACAAAAGGCCTCTAACAGAAATCTTTTCTGACCCTTTGAGAATGCTCCGTGTCTAAGGAAAGTTTCTTATTAAATTATGGTGGTGCACCTTTTGTCAACGACCTAATTCATTGTAACGACATATAGTCTCTTCTCAGAATTCTTTCCTCAGAGAGCAAACCAACAACCTTTTGGCCAACCAAATGTCAAATGTTTGTAGATCAACCAAAGGCTTCACAGAGCGATAAGGTTATCAGGTCATCAGATGCCCCCATTTCAAGCAGTTTTGAATAGCAAATGGTGCTAAAGTCGGTTTTGAGTACAAAAGAGTGTTGAAGTCGGTTACAATATGAAAATGTGTCATAATACCTTACAATGACCCTATTAAAATAGAGACAAACATAAATTTTTACATGGGGTTCCCCTCAATCTATGAATAGGGGGTAATTTCTACAAAGAAGGACTATTGATTTACTCTATTACAATTATTGTTGTGCACCGTTTTTCTCTTTCGTTGTTTTTCTCCTTCGTCTTACACTATATGCCTTGGGTATGATTTACAAGACATATCTAGATTCGAGAGTTTTTGTAAAAGATTTTAATTAAACATTGATTATTTTAATATTATGATTGAAATAAGTTATTAAATTAAATGCAATTAAATTAAATAATGTATACTTATGTATAATTAATTATTAATCAAAATAATTAATTATTAACAAACAAGTTAATAAACTAATTAGTTGTTAAGAAACAATTTAAGATTAATTAATTATTAATTTCAATAATTTATATATAATAATTTAAATTTTAAAATGTATTTTATGCTTGAATTAATTATTAAATTATTACATATAAATTCATTTAATTTACATTTATTTGATAATAGAATAATTAATCTTTAATTTTTAATCAATTAATTTAAAAAAATTAACTTGAATGAAAATAAATTAAAATTATAAACCTATCTCACATTCTCCTGTTTCCACCCAAAATCATCGGAAATCATCGATTTTGTGATTGAACCCTCGCGATACATTCCCGATTACAGCAAACCGGGCAGATAGCTCCCATATTTCCTCATGTTTAGTTCTGCTCCAACCTAAAATCATAGAGAAAGGTAACCTCACATTTTACTATTCGCAGGAAGCGCTCGTCCCGAAGTTAAACTGCAGCTCAAAGTTAGATCCACCAATTACAAATTTAATAAATTTTGAATTTACCGATGAAGTCTGCAAAAACTCGAATTTAAGGACAAGATCGACGAAATCTAGATTTACAGCATTCCACCATCCACGTATTTTATCCAAAAACATCGTCTGGAATGCTTGGTAAATATGGCATAATTGGTAAATATTAATGTTTCAACACCATGTAAATGACAATAAATTGACTAAGTTTTTTATTTATTAATATTATGTTTTTTAAAAATTGGTTTTTGCATGTATAGCGCACAACTTTTTAAAAAGTACAATATAAAGTGCCATATAAATATGAGTTTTGATGTAAGAAAAAAAATAATGTCAAAATAAAAAATAAATAAAATATACGCCGATCAAATCGGATCCTAAGCTGCCGTGAAGCCGATCTCCGCAGGAACCACTCCCACTCTCCATAATGTTCTCTATAAAAGCCAGTCTCGCTTTCATTTACTCCGTAAGTCTTCAGCTAAAAAACTGAGAGCGAGTGAGAGAGAGAGAGAGAGAGAGGGAGAGAGACATCCTTATGATTAGCAAGATGCGCGGCTTTATGTTGTTGTCCATGAAGATCGTTGGAGCCTCTGCTGCAGTCTTGACATCAGCGGTGGCTCTTTGGTTTGCTACCCCGCCGGTAACCGAGTTTCTCGCCGATGAAGGCCCTCTTTTGTACAAATCCATAGCCGCCTGGCTGACTCCGCCCTATCTCTACTTCATCATCAACGGAATCATAATCTCCATCGCTGCCACCTCCCGGTTCCAGAAGACAGTTGCTGTTGTTGGCCACCCCACTGTTGGCGCAACCCTATACGCCCCTTCATCCTCGATTTCAGTTCAGCCAGACCAGCCCGCGCAGGTGGATTACATTTCTAAGTTTACTGAGGATACGAATTTATTGCCAGATTTCCTCGCTCCGGCCGTTGGCCTTAGTAAAGTTACGTCGTTATCGGATTCTGTTGCCGAGACGGAGTTAGAAGAGGAATTTGTGATATCGAGGTCAAGCTGCTCTCCGAAGAGGAGGGGATCAAGTGAGAATCTGCAGAAGAAATCAGCTTCCGGTGCTGGAGGTGGCGCGGCGTCTCGGGCGGCC